GGGTGACTTTGGGCCAGTCACTCTCTCTCAGCCAAACTCACCTCACAGGGTTGTTGTTGTGGGGAAAATAGGAGGAGGAAGGAGTACATTATTAGGTATGTTCACCGCCATAAGTTATTTATAAAAATAATAAAGGCAGGATAAAAAATCTTTTAAAAATCAATGAAAAGACAAGCAAAATGTGTTATAGCAATAAATAGTCAAAACAGTATGCAACCAATAACCGACCAAACAAAAACACTCTTTCTTCCAGTCCCAGTTGAGAAACTTGAGTTCTGCCAAGCAAAATTTGGCAACTTTATACATAAAGTTTCTTATCTGACAAGTGGAAGACAAATGAGGGTTTGATGATTGCTGTGATATTAGGGGCAGTATAATAACACATGTTGGACAGACTCAATTGCACCAACTTGCAGGTGCGGGTCAGGTTCTTTTAAATGCTTTAGTAAATCTCCCATTAAGAAGTCTAGTCCTAAAATGGCTCTTTGTTGGGCAGGAGAAACAAAGAGAAATTAGATATCAAACCAGAGAAATTAGATATCTACTTAATTCCCACTTAGGATATATTATGTGAGTTGTAATATGGGCTGGATTGTGGCTAACCATTTTATATGATGATATCCAATATCTAAAACTCTTTCTCTAAAAATTCTCCTATCTTGAAAATATTCCAAGAGAAGCAATTGCTAGAGCAGTAAGCTATAGGTTTCCCCAATCTTGCCTGCTGCCATGAAGACTGAAATTGGTCTGCCAGAACTAATGGAATCAGTCCTGAGGGAAGGAAATGGCATTTAAGCTGATCAGTGGGCATTAATAACCATGCTCTTACTTCCATTTTTTGTTGCCCTGCTCCCCTTCTAAGAATCACAGTAGTTAACCAGCTAACTGCTTGAAACAGTGATCACAAAAACTCTGTATAACCTTAAGAGATTTTTAATGAGTAAAGGAAAATGCAATAGAGCATTTGAGCCATTGGTTTTGCTACAAAGACTTTCAGTACTTCTTGTATACATTCCCTGCCCTTCAGTGTTCCTTATATACATTCCCTGCCCTTCAGAGCACGCAAGCCCCACAACCATGTCGAGGTAGTGCCTCACTGGGGGATGATGATGATGATGATGATGATGATGATGATGATGAGTAGGGCAACTAACACCAGTAAGATTCAGACAATTTTTTAAAGCCTTTACCCATTACTGCTAAGAGTATCTTCTACTAATCATCAACCAGAAAACTAAAGTTGAGGGTTCTTGTGTAGGAAACCCAAAATATCTATTTGGCTTATTGAAAGGAAATCAAGGAGATAAAAGCTATAAATAGTTGGAAGTAGTGTTCCAGTCTACAAGATGCACACCGATCACATTGCCTTGTACAACAGCTATTATGAGATGTATCTAGACAGGAAATGTATACAAGCAGCACTGAAGGGCAGGGAATGGCAATCCCATTGATCACTTGCTGGGACAAGGAATTTTTACAACTGCTGCCGCTCAAATCAACTCTCCAAGGGCTTCATTTCCCTTGGTTTCACAAGCAGCTGTATCTGCATTGTGGAAAGTTGATGATTCCTCAGCCACCCCCACACAATCCTTTTCAAAAATCATGCAGGGATCTATTGAAAATTATTCCGAATTTCTTAGCCGTCTCCAATTAGCCATTGAGCGTCAGATTGACAATGAGGACGCTCTCGTAATGAATTGTTATTAAAACTAGCCTATGAAAATGCAAATGCTGATTGTCTGGGTCTCTGTGTATTACAAAGAACCTCTCGTGCCTCAGTGCTCGGTTGGAAGTGATTTGTGTGTTTCCCCAATTATTTCCACGCTGTTGACCAGGGCTGTGTGTCTGTCTGCTCCAGCCGCACCTATCTGGAAATCCAGGTAGAAAGCAGGGGGGGCTGACAGGATCCGCGTGCCTCGACAGGCTGTGAGTTTGTGAGTGAGTGACCATAGACTGAACCTGGGAGCAGCGTCTGT